TGCGCTGATTTAACGGCCGTGGCCTGTCTATCAGCGCCAGTGGCTATCCAACAGTGCCACACTACTCTGCCTGGTTCAAATGAAGCGGTTCGTGCAACATGTGCACGTAAGCGTCATCCTCCATGGCGGTAGTAAAATGAACCAGTGTGATGGGCAAATTGTGCTTGCCGTGTGATTTTATCTTTGCTCTTGACTGACCCAGATGGGAGATTTGTAGGCTTGAGTTCCATGCTGAATTTGAAGGGTATTTATAGGCAGGTTTGACGGTGATCTTGATTCACCATGCGCTAGACAAGCACAGGCGTCTGTAGGCAGGGGTAGCCCTTGGCATTGGATAGCCATACCTTTTGCAGATGCCAAGACTGGGTTGAAGTCATCCTGCTTTGCCACTCTCAGACGTTCTGGAATTGACTTGTGGCTTCAGGGCTGAGCATGTTTTGGTAAAGCACATGAAGAGGTGGAGCCTGATCAGAACACAGTTAACATGATCCCGCCCAAAGCTGTGATGTATCCTCCAGAATTGATAAAGTCGATCATCCATCAGGTCCATGGATCAAGTACTTGTATGGATATCCCAAACAAAAGGGCTTGGCCTTCGCTGGTCTTCCTGTGCGCTCAGAGTTGCACATTTTCGCTGCCATGCCTGTGCCACTATCCTTCCTCTTTGACCCTGCACCTGAAGAGCAGTGGCCCCAGGATGTGAAAACTCCGAGGAAGTGTCAGCCACCACACAAGTGCCAACACATTCGTTAATCTGCACATTGCTCTTGGCACCTTTCTTGCTCTTGTTTGACCTAGACCAACACTTTTGATTTTTGACCTAGACCTTGCTTTGACGGCAGTGACGCGGAGGAGAAGGACGTGGGATTGTACTTCTCACTTGAACGTTCTGATCGCTTTCCAGCCTCCATCTCTCCATGAGCTTTGACGTTGAAGATCAAGTGTGCAATAGGGCCCCCTTCAGTCCCTTTGTGGTATAGGTCTAGCCAAGATTGAGTCATCCAGCTGCCATCCGTCCAGCCACATGCCGTGTGTTTGGAGGCTGGTGAAAGCAGAGAGTTGTTGGAGGATGGGGACACAAGCCCCTTGGATTTCCGTCGGGCGACAAGGGTCTGCCTGAAAGAGGGCTGTTTTGGAGGTTTTGAGGTTTTAAGAGTGTTCTTTATGCTTGCACATCTTGTGCTCAATTCATTTTAATCAGCAAAACCATGGCACCCGAATGCACCTGAGGTCGGGTTGCATCGCGGTCAGTGGGCACCCGCGTATGGCTTGTATCGCTGCTGGGATGCCTTCTCGCAGGAGAGCTGTGCAGAGTGCAGGGAGTGGACAGTTGGATAGGCTTTGCCTTAAAACGGGAGGCCTCCTGACTATTGGCTTCAGCCTTTTTTTGGCCGTCACCAGTGGTTTTTCTCGTCTATTTTGAAGTCTTTGCCCCGAAGGTCTATTTGGTCTGGTCTATCAAAGCATTTTACACCAATCCCCTCGGCACCAGCTATCGGCCTCCGCACAGCCACGGAAGGTGCGGACTTTACTCAAGGATCATCCCCTAGTAGCGTCCGATCGCTCCTAGTAGTACGGCCAGGAGCCCTTAGTAGCGTCCTTGCTCCTAGTAGCCTTTGTGTCATTGAGTCTTGAGTATTGAGGACAATCTAGGCGGCGGGATGGGTGATGCAAATCATTCTTTTCGAGACGGAGCACTGGAAGACGTCAAGTCATGTTTCAGGAGTGCTGCTGTTTTATCACTATGACTCCAAGTGCCAGGCAAGTTGGTCCATTCTTGTGGCTCTAATTTGCACTGCGAGCTAGCCAAGCTGTTGTGTCGAATGTCTGGAGGGGTGTGGCGAAGCTGTTTGGAGTTGTACGCAGAACGTGTCAGTTTCCTCCACAGCTGGTAGAGGAGATGTTGCTTTGCAGGCACAGCTCCAAGTGCTGATGACTCTGATGTGACGAGGACGGTGAGGGTGGGCAGGTGTGAGGGCAAGGAATCAGCTGATGCATGAGGCGCAGGTATGAGGTTTCGGAAAAGAAGGGCAAGCTGGCATCACGTGAATCTGGAAACTTTTGTCCTGAACCGTCTGAGGACACTTCGCACACCTTCGCACTCTTGGATGTGAACGAACCTTCATCTCATTAAACCCTTGTTCCAGTTGGGGGGTCTCACTCCCGCTCACTCGATGTGGCCGAAGCAGCTTTTCTGGATTGGTCATTTGTAGACTCGAAAGCTCTGGGTTCAGAGCTGCGGTGAATGCATTGGCTGGACAGCTCTGAAGGATGAACGGGCTGGACCAAACATCGACACCCAACAAGTTCTGGCTGATGTGCTTGGCCCTCAACACACTGCACTTGAAGCATCTATCCGAAGCAGAGAGTATTGAGTTTTAAAAGGACCTGTAAGCCCCTGTAAGAAATGGTTGCGTTGAGGATCAGAAGACATCCATTGGATTTGCACGGCCCTGTCCGTCCACCCCCCCTGTCCCAATTCAAACAGCGAGCACAGTCTCCAAGGTCCCCGAGATGGGGCTCCAATTTGGTTTCGAAAGTGCTCACCTCAAGCGACCGTTTTCGTTGTTTGATGGGGTTGGAGGGTCGGATTTGGCATGTTGAGACATCAAAAAGAGTACCAGTAGATATAATCTACATATGTAATCATATGTATATATATATATATAGGTGATCTGATCTAGAGGCCAATTAGGTTTGACATACATTTTTCAGCATTGGCCAAACATTTGACTTTCCCTGCTATTTGTTCGAAGTCATTGTCTCGTGAACACTGGAAGCAGCATACTCCCTTGGGACGAAACCAACCACCAGCTCAAATTTTTAGACGCATGCTCCTTTTTTTGCATGTCAAGTGTGCAGTTCTCATTAAACAGAATGCATGCCTTCACAAGCCATTTTCAAAGCTGAGAGCAATGCATTTGACTCTTAGAAGCCCCGTATGCCAAAGTGGATTGCACTTGATGAGAATTGCAATTTCTGACAGTCGTCCTCCCTGCTCCATTGGTGTTTTTAAATGGGCTACAACCAAGACCCTTGAAGTCGTCGGGCAATGGCTGTGAGACTGAGGGAAGGCACGGACTTTATCTACAAGTACTACGCACGGAATGCCTGGGATGTCTCCAATCAAATTGATAACCAGGCGGGCACCTAGCAAATTGAAGAGCCGCGACTGCATTTGCAAGCTGCACCGACGGTTTCTCATGCACATCTGTTCGCCGTGATTCTTGAGTTCAATTTAGATCTTGGAGGCTATGGGTATTAGGAGCAAAGGCCATAGCTACTAGGAGCAATCGGACGCTACTAGGGGCTCCTGGCCTTACTACTAGGAGCAAGAAGCTAGTAGGAACAAAGGGCATCGCTACGAACGGAGCAAGGACGCTACGAGGTTGGAGGCCATCGCTATTAGATTGGAAGGCCTGGCTAGTCTCCACAGTTGTATCCTTACGGCATCGTGTCAGATTTGGCACCTCCCTGCAGTGCCGCAGGCCGGTCTATCATTTTGACATCAAATTAAGACTTGCAGTGAAACAAGTTGGTTTTATTATGATTATTTTGGATGGTGCACCAGCAAATCGTTTAACAAGAGAAGCTTGCTCAGTATTTATCTCCATTGTAAAGACCAATTGAACCGGAAGCTGTGAGATCATAAGAGCTTCTTGTGTGATTGTTTGCATTTGTTTCTGGGTATGTGCATCCAACTGGGTTTCACATTGGAGAGTTCAGAGAAACCCAGAAACCCGATTGCTGGCAGCAGGATCTTTGGAACTCGATTCGGAATGCTTGGACTCAGAAGCCCGATCCCTGGCAGGGTGTGTGGAACTGGAACTCGATCGCCGTACTTTCGTTCTCAGGATTTCAGAAGAAAGGAAGGGAAAGGAAAGGAAAGGAAACAAGAGAGACACATGCGAAACCATGAAAGAGGATGCCAGGCAAAATGCGAAAGGACTGAGGATAGATGAGTGAGAGGAGAAAGGAGAGAGAGAAAGGAGGTCTACGAGAGAATTGTCAATCCCAGGTGGCGATGGCACACTTACACATGACTCACATGACAATCCATCACCTGACTTAGTCCTCACAAGACAGATAGACTGTGGGCTTTAGGTGCCTGCCTTTGAAAAACCTCTTCCGTTTCCTGGCTACCTATTTGTTGATGCCTGCCGATACAATACTGTAAAGAGACAAACGAGAGATTGAGCAGACAGTTAGTACTTCAATCATGTTTGCATGGGCCCCTAATAGCTTCTTGCTCCTAGTAGTACGGCCAGGAGCCCCTAGTAGCGTCCTTGCTCCTAGTAGTAAGGCCAGGAGCCCCTAGTAGCTTCTTGTTCCTAGTAGTGTTTTGTGGCTGAAAAGGGGCATGTCAGAAGAACCCGTTTGCCCATTGGGCATGTCGTGCTGAGTCCGCCACTCTTCAAGGGACAGCCAGTGACCTTGCAGGCACGATGCTGATGGCTTCAGATTCCGTTTGGTTGTAGTTTGCTGACTCTATGACCATACAATATATGTGCAAATAATTGACTTCACTCTTCTTCTCCAAACATTCTGTATATAAGACTACTGAACGGAGGTTTTTGTTTTCATCTTCTTTCCTTTTGGGCTCACCGTGTTACCGTTGTCAGGACTTGGCCAATTTCATGCGAGACACCTTGCGGAGGGATCCCTTCTGGACGGGCGGTCAAAAGGTGCCATGGGTGGATCTTCGAGGAGGCCATCGAGTCGCACCGAGCGACGCGGTCTTCGGCCAGTCTTCGAGACCCCAGGGGTTGGCGTTGGCCGCCTTTCTTTGGGGGCCAGTTGGCTCGTTCGGGATCATTGAAATAGAAGCTTGTGGAACATGGAGCCTTTCTTGAAGCCTTAGGGTGGCTTTAGTCGTATTTTTGATGCTTTTGGTTGGGAGCTTTTATAGCCTTGCAACCCTTGCATCCACCAGCACACCGATCACCAGGTGGCGCTGGTGCTAGCAGCCCACGACAGGACAGCTTCAGTCAGGGATCTGTTGTGTTTGTTCAATCTGAAGGAAGGTTACTCAGCTTCTGTGAGAAACAGATGTCTTTTCAAAGGAAGGCCGGTTTTCAAAAGGTCCCCCCGCTTCGCTTCGCACCGTGTCGCTTCGTTGGTGAGGGAACCGGTGTCGCTCCATTTCGGCACCCGAAAGGTGGAGGTGAAGACTCGTTGTGTCGACGCGTTTCCTTTGTTGGTGGACGTTGTTTGAGCCAGATGCCCATCCAATCACCTTTGCCCATGCAGTACCCACAACTGTATCACCGTATCACCTATTCAGCCACACTTCACATCCAGGGCTTCGTTTGACACCCAGTGCCACAGGGAGGTGTTTTGACAAGAGCTGGGAGCAGAACCCAGTCACATTCGTTTTCGAGGTGCTAATTGCACTCGAGCTGTCCAGGCTGTCATTATCAATCAAAGACAGATGGCTTGGATCGTCATCAATGCTTTGATGGGCAATAAGCTGAATGGCGTGGAAACAGGTGTGGCGGTGTGACGATTGCATTTTCTTCAAGTGGTTTTCCCAAAAGAGAGGAGGCCATCGCTATGAGGATCTATATTAGGTTTCTTTTCCAAAAAGAAGCGGCTCACCGGATGAGACCGGGAGACCTCGTTTTGCAGCTGTTGTTCGACGTCAGCATCAAGCCGGCCGCCAGGGTTGGATGCTGCCATCAAGCGCTGCAACAAGGAATCGGATGTGAAGAAAGGTCACAACCTGAGCTTAGTTTTTTGTACTTTTTCTTCATAGGATTTTCATGCGCTCAACTTGGTTGATGCCTACACATGTATTCCACATGCAGAAAGAGACAGACTTAGACCAGATGCTGAGATGTGAGTCTTAATCTTCTGTGATTGAAGGGATCAATCGATTGAGGCCTGTCACCCGACATGCTGCACTCACTCCTTGCATTCTTGGCAGTTCTCTCGAAAGAGATTGGAAACACAGCTTTGATCTCAGTGTGAGTGAACGGTTTGCTGCCAGCGATCGTGCTTCCCAGACGAATTCACATGCCCACAGCCATCCAAGTGCTTGCACCAACTACCCTTCCTTCAGGATGGAAGCTACTTGGTTGCTTCTACTCCAGGGCCCGTGAATGAAGCCTGGCTTGAGAAGATCCAAAATCAAAACCAGGCGGCGACGACCGGAGAACGATGCGTGTGAGCATGCCGCTTGCAAGGTCAACCTCCAGCCTTTCTTTGTTTTGAATTGTTTTTTTTGAGACCCCTTTGATGGACAAAACACTGGGACACCTGAGCCGCTTTGATGGAGGCACAGACTTTTGTGCTGCGATATCCCATCTATATAACCAATACCGTACCTTTTCATCCAGTGCTCTGACACCTGCAGGATCAAGACAATAGCACTGTCACAACCAACATGTTCAAAGTTCTAATTGGGTTGGTATTAAAGCACCTTCCACAAATACCACTGTTATTTATAAAAGCACTCGAACACCAAAGGGTTGGTGGATGGTATTTGGACAGACGCAGGGTGGAAAGACCATGGTGAAGCCCACACTTTGCAACACGGCCAATTTGCAGGTGAGCACCCCAGGGGGTGGAGGGGGATGGCAGGAAAGCTTTGAGGGTTTGATTCGAGATTCGGTCGTGGGATTGAGAGACTTCTTCGCAATCAGACTTTACAGCGGTAGGATGTTTTGGTCACCTGTGCCCTGAAGCGACACCACGGCTTGAAGCTGCTTTCAGTCTTCGCGAGAGTACACAGTCTTCGCCGTGTCCAATCTTTGGAAAGGTGACCGAAACGAGTGTTCACGGGGATCTCAGGCGGGCAACTGCGGCATGCATGACTTCATGGCTGGCGGCACGCCAGCGCAGGCAGAGGGTTTCTTTGGTTTGCAGAATGCCCTAAATTCTGAACCTACGAAAACTCTGTTGGGATTCCTTTGTATGCAAGCTATATGGACAGTTTCACCAACACAGACCTGAAGTATGCAATAACTTTGCTCGCAATGCAATCATACAGAGTGTCATCCATTTCCTGCTGGTACGATGAGTCCGCGCGTTCTTTGTTGAAACACTCTCTTGTTTCCTTGCCTTGCGGAAGTAGCCATAGCCAAGCGCCGCACAGAATCCTTCACATCCTTCCATTTGTTTTTGGATGAAGGCCCTGACGGACATTGCTGGCATGGACCCTCCGCAGACTTTGCTTCGAGACATTTGTAGATAGTCAGTGCTGCAGAGGCTAGCAGATCTAGCAAACAGTAATGTTGCGAGAGCAAGCCGTATATATTGCAGAACCATAGTTGTAGAGATTCTATGGCCCCATTTGTCCGAAGTATCAGATTGCTATTAGGGTGGAGGCCATCACTAGTAGCTTGGAGGCCATCGCTTCTAGGTTGGAGGCCATTACAATTAGGTTGGAGGCCATTGCTATGCACCTTCTGCTCGACTTCAGAAGCCCAAGATGCACAAACTCCAGGACGTGGGTGGTGGCGCGCAATTGTGCCGTGTTGCCAACAGTCAGGCCAGATTGGGACACACCCATCGAAGACAGAGCTATGTTGTGCCATTGGCATTCTAGGCGAGAACTACATCAACCAGACCTGCAGCTATCTTGCTTTAGTATTGTGCATCATTTTGTGACTTTTATCATGATCTTCTCAGATCGAATTCCATGACTTGTCTACCAACCATCACTCATGACTCATTGAAGATACTGATGTTGGATGAAACCACGAGAAGACTGATACAAGCAGTACGAGCACTCAAACCGCCAGAAGTTTTCTTTTTAACATGAATCCATCGACTTCCGCCAACGGTGACATTTCACGCTGTTCTCAAGCTGTGATCTACAACCGTAACCTTTCATCACGGCTCACCAAGCTGAACGGTCAAATTCAAACGTTTCCCCGCGACGTACCGCGGAACAGCCCCCACCAGCGAAGTCACGCAGATCGCAGATCGCCAGGATGAATCCTTGGTGATTTTCTACCCCGAGGCTTCGGAGTGTTTTTCGGCGGATGTGTTTGCCAAATCCTCCAAATCAGCCCAAAGCTCCGCCAGCCCTTTCAGTGTGCTTTTTCGACCCCGCTTGGGTCCGCTCCAACGATGTGAGGTCTTGGCCGCCTCATTCTTCGTTGGGGATGGCCAGATGCTCCCCGTGCCATTCACGATGTTGGGTTCGGTCAGCTCAGAGTTCCTGCTTCTTCTTTTCAGTCGGCCGATGACCGGATCGCACGGGACCGGCCCCCACACCGAACGAATCCGGTGCCAGTGGAGTTCGCACCCCGGTCTTCGGATTTCATCGACGGCTCCTGAGGTGCCAGGAGGTATTTGAGCAGTATTCGCTTGCCCGGCGAACTTCAGCGTTTGGGGCGGGATTGGTGGTCCCAATGCGCCGAGATTGGGCCTCTCCATTGGTGAAACATGCCGATTCATGGCCAGGTGGTGAAACTGGAGTTGGCGCGCCCTATGACAATCAGTGTGGGAAAGTGGTAAGCCCAGCGGTGTGTCAAGTGCAGGGAGAAGCCTTCAGATAGAATTCCACGCTGTTTATGTAGATGGGCTTACATCCTTGAGTGTTTGACTTAACAACCTTCGACGATACCACGTTTGTAGAGCTTCTCTTGGATGAGTCTTCCATTGTGCTCTAGTGAAGCACAGTGTTTTGCTGCGCAGAGACACCAAGGTCCAAGTGCCACAGTTCTTGAACTCCAAAATTATGGAGAACACAGTGCAACTCGGCTGCCTTTCCTCTTTGCTCTTGGGCACCTCTAGGACTATACAAACCTGAATTTATTCAAAAGAACAGCTGGAGGTTATCAGAAAGCTTTGTTGATGGGAGTCATCCCCTGTGTGAGTCCAGTCACCCAGGGATACACATGTTTCCATCACTCCGGTGAAGATCTCAGTGCGGGGGCCAAGAGTTCGCAGAGGAGGAGTATCTTTAGATTCTGCAAAAGGCTTGTGACGGAGTTCGCATCATCTTTTGCTAAGGTGACATGCCAAAACGAACCCAGATACTGTAAATGGTTTGTTTTAGAACAGCCTTTCATTTGACAGAATCTTCTTTGGAAGGGTGGTAAAGAGCATTGAGGTATCGAGACCTCATTATTCTCAGTATATACTTAAACAATCTTAAACATTATATTTTGATACATTTTGAATCTATTAGGTTTAGGATGCTCCTTGCCTGTTGGACTTCTTAGCTCTGCCATGCTTCGCCTCAGAAAAGCGCCTTTGTCGCGGTGGCCTCCTATTGCAGCGATTGCCACAGGCCTGAGACTCCGGTGTTGAAAGGACTGAAGGACAGTGGCTCACTCCGTGGTTGTATTTGTGTTTTACCTGTTTCTTTCCAGTCCTTGTGGCTCAAGAAGAATCCACTTGGCCTTCCACATTGATGGACTGAAGCTCCAAAGTTTGAACCACGTGAGCTGCTTGAGCTTTCATACAAAGTGGCGCATGCTGTCAATGCTTCAGTTCAAACTCACTGTGTATCGCAGGGAGTTCACCTGGTTCTTGGTGCTCGACTCCGGCTTCTCGGGTCCCCGACGTTGGTGATGACACACTCGTTTGTGGTAGCAAAAGGTCACGTTCGTGTTGCGCGAAAGCACCTGTTGCGACCACTTTCACAGCTTCAAGACCTCGTGGCTTGGACTGGACTTCAGACAGCCCCTCTTGAGGGTCAAACAAGACTGCATTCGTGGCTCGACTTTGAGCATAGAACCCAAATGCCATTTGTCTTTGGCCGTGCAGGGTGTCACTGAGGACTATTTGACAGTTGACACACTTCCGACTGGAGAACAGTCTTGACATCTTTGAAAGGCTAGGACACGTTAGAGAGCCAAACATATCGAGGGTGGTCCAGATAGACAGTTGGGGGGTGTATTTCGGCCGGTAGTCTTGCTTCATCTGTGCGCACTTTTGGAACGCCCCTTGGCCGCAGGGGCGAATGCTCCGAGCCCGAGATGTTCAACAACCAGTGCGACAATCAACGAAAGCACCTGGACGAGGAGCAGTCTGAGACGAATCCAAGTGGCTGCGAGTTGCAACAGGTGGTCTATCAGCCTAGCTCTCTATATAATCGCTTATATAACCAGGTTTGGGGTGGACCCAGGACAAGGATTCCAACTCCATCTTTCTTTGCGATCATTTTGGCTTGTGAAAACTCGTGTCCAGGACGTGTCTGCCTGGCTGCAGGCACTGTGATTTGCGCACTTATCTCGTTCAGAAAGGATAGCTAGATCACAACCGGCTAATAGTCGAGCTTCACCTAACCTCCTTCCCTTTCTCTTTCTTATGAAAGATGACCAAATGATACCGAAGGATCGTGCGAGCTTTGTTCTGCCATCTCGAGAAAGGCCTATGACCACACCAACTACCACGATGCCATCTCGACGGCCTTTGCGGCGGTGGTGTCCCGTGTGGGAACAGGTCGGACTTGCAGACGTTCCTAGTAGCGAAGAAGCTACTAGTAACAAGTGCCACGCTAGTAGTAACAAGTGCCTTACTAGTAGTAACAATGTTTGCTACTAGAAACAAGTGCCTTACTACTTGTAAAGAATTTAATTAGAATTGTAATTACTACTAGCGTCCTTGTTACTACTAGTAAGGCACTTGTTACTAGTAGCGATGCACTTGTTACTA